ACAGCTCTCTGTTCACTAATTTCAGTCGATTTTTCTCAATGGCTTGTTGCAACTTCGTTACTTATCGATCGGAGGTAATCTTTTCGTCTGGCAGCAGCAACTCATAATGCGCAGGTCCTTTTTAATTTCATTTAACACCTACTTTGATGTCAGCCCGGCTTTTGCCAAGGGTCATGGGGCATATTTTTTTCATTTGCATGTTATATCCATAGGTAAGTTACTTTCCACTGTTCATGATCAACCTCTTCAAAAATGTCTGGATTTCGTTGCGTTTCTATGCAAATTATTTTGCCTTAAATTGTACGTCACTCAAATATTGGACTTCTTTTATAACCAGTCTATTCGAATAATTTAAAACTCTTTAAGAATAGATGCCTAGTTATTAGGACGACAATGTTTCGTAACGTTGGTCGACAACTACGAAAAGGATCTTTTATATTGAAAATTCCCAAACAAAACGGTCAGAACGATCTTTGGACCGTTCTCTTGTCGATAACGCATCTTATCATAAATGGCGCACGTTTTTTTTATCGTAATAGGATTGTAAAGTACAGAACATACATTTTTGCCACAGTTCTGCTGAACTTTAAAGCGCTCGATCTTACAACTGAATTAGTGCACTCCAACAATGTTGGCAACAATCAAAAGAAAAACTGTTTTTACATTATATTCATGATAACTAGACGCGACTCAATATATATATATATATATATATATATATATATCTAGGAGTACGACCAATATTTTTCAGTTCCAACGTAATATTATATAATATTCCTTAACCCGTTCGTAATGGAAGCATAGAAATTCTTATCGTGAGAAGCTTGTCGAGTATGATGGGTAAACTGATAAAATGATTAGATCACAAACTGTAGTAGCAGTCATTGATGTGTCTTGTGTACGGTAACGATGGGCTGTTCAAAGGGTTGTTAAAGGATAATATGTCAAGGTTGAAGGCGGATCCTTGATCTATACTATGCTCTCGCCCTGGAGTTTGAAGACAGTCATCTGAAGGCTCCTTTAAAGGAAGATGGCCAATAAACAACGCTGCAGTCATACAGTTGACACAAAAGATCCTGGAAGTTGAATACCTCATTGACTCACTGATTCGAACAAGGAGTCATGGCTCAACGCTGCGTTTCAGCAACCTGCTCGGGCGCGGTATACGGCCTTGAGGACCAATTTTTAAACAAAGTCGTCGTCGTCGTCGTCGTCAGTGAAGAAAAGTGGTGTCTATATGCCAACTCGAATCAGAGATCATGAATGAATCACGAAGGGAGGCCAGGGTCGGATTTCACCACAAAAAAGGTTATGCTTTGCGTTTAATAAAACTTCAGAGGCCTGGTCTACCGGTAATTGCTTCCTACAAAGGAGGCAGCTTTATCGGAACGTTTATTCGGCCCAGTTACATCGAGTCAACCGGGCTATCAGCATATATGGTCCGACAAAGCTGCCCTCCTGGACTTCGAATGGGAGGTCTTGTTGCGCCCCCCGGGGTTCTCCTGACCTTGTTGATTCTCACTTTCTTCGTTTACTGCCAATCTCCTTTATGACTTGATCTTCGGTGCGAATCAGGAACTCGAGACATAATCGTAAAACTTCTCCGAGACGAAGCCGTTTTTTTGAGACGGCGTATATTACTTGATGCGCAAAAACCTAGTATATGATGAAAATATGATATTTTTTTATTTAGAAAAGAATGGGCGGAATCTTTTTTCCGACCCAATAGTTGAAACGAATTTCGGATGTTACATAAATCAACTATACAACTACCCTCAGTCTATGTTTATTTAATGAGGACGTCATATTCGAGCTTTAACAGCCCTCTTGTCACCTATTGGCAGGGCAAATATACGCCTATCAGTAGCTAATGATAATTGTCTCCATGGCGGCGAATGCAATTCGAAATAAAAGACAAGTTAAAAGGTAAAGTAACGATTTGTATGCGAGTCATAACTAACTGTAGCGAGACTGATACCACCCCGTAAGTCAAATATTTCGAAGAAGTCACCACGTGCCCGCTGGCGGCCCACCCTACAGGGCTTTGCATACGATATCCTCCCCACTTCCGCGGTGGATCAACCGATCTATCGATTAGCGCTATTGGATTATTATGTACATCTTGAAAAAACCCAATTTAATGAATCAATTCCGTGCTCGACTTTCTGTCTCCCGGAATCTAACGGCGCACAATTATCACCAGCAGAGCTGCTCCAATCGCTCATACACGCTCATAAATTGTTCATCCACGGTCCGAGTACTATCGACTGTGGTCATATTTTGCGGGTGTTTAGATCCATAGCACTCGCCAATTTCTTATGTATAGGGCGGTAAAATGTGACACATTGCCTCATTTCTCTCTAGAAGGCCAGTATTATCGCCTCGTTCGTCCGACAGAAATATATTTTGGCTCAAAATTCTGTAGATATGCTATGTTATAACAAAATAAACTAGTGGACTATAGTAACGATAGAAAAAAAAAAGCTGCGGCAGTAACAAACACTATATAATCAGGAAATATAGACTCGCCTGCCTAAGAGTCATTTTCGTTTACAACTGGTTGAAGGTCGTTCTCGTTAAACTCGAAAGGTCTAACGTAATACATAGATCGAAATGTTCAATTCATAAAATTGACACACACTTTTCAATCTTAACTGTAGACTTTTCATCATAAACGCCATCTCCTGCCAATGGCTTCCGCAGATTACTGCCACCAGAATTATTTCCTTTTTCACCCACAGTCACAGCAAAATTGTGTAATCTTGTAGAGTCGACCTCGAATCACTTTCTAACGAAAAAAAAAAAAAAAAAACTAAGCATCAATTAGTGGCAGCCATTGCTTTCCTCGGAATTGAACAGGACGACCGCATTTCAACTTCTACTTTTTCTTAGTTCCCTTTTTCAGTCAACGTAGTGAATAAGTGATACACTTGACAAGAATATATACCTCATATTTTTTAACACTGACGGTACACATTGTGAGGAGTGTTTATAATGTATAGATAATGAACTTTTCTGACTATCAACGCTTAGCTTTGCACAAAACCACATATAAACAATAATATCTCTCGGACACATATCAAATATGCGTGTAAATAGTATTCATGAAGAGCTAGCTTGATCCGCTTTATATATAACTTACTGTTGTTGTTTCTGTAAAGATCCTCAGACAATAGTGTGTTGATCTGGGTCTTTTAATTGAGATTACTCAGCTGGGCGTTATCACCGTAAGGTCCGCGTTGACTTCTGCGTTGAAAAGCGGTCTCGTCGTCGCTTCATTCGGGTTGATTTTCATCATTAGTGCTTGAATGTGCCCATCGCAAAGTCCAAATACGCAAACTATCTTTTCTGAAACGCTTGTGCACATGCAGTAGCTCCCTAACGAATGTTTGAATTGGAAGCATAGAAAATGACGCTAGGCAAAGCTGGATAAATCGGTCTGGGGTACGCAATTCTTTGTACAAATTAACTTGAAGGTTAAATTGGGGCAGCCCCTGTATCCACGCTGTCGGCAACTAACACGCAGATAAGCAAATCCATTTGCCCCTTGAATAATCGAATACCTGCTACGAAATGGACTTAAAATGCCCATTATTCCTATGGGATTGCTACTGACGAGGTCAAACAATTGGCTGATGTTTGCGGGATCCTCGATGATAAGTTCGGGATTGTCGAAGACATTTGTGAGATCTGTATCAACGCATCTCAAGTTGTTTCAAGAGATGGTCTATGAATAATCTTAAGCCTCACCCGTACAATGATCGTATTTAGCGGCCCGTTTGAACGGCGCTAAAAACTATTTGCTTTCTATAATGCGTATTGATCCGACATATTATATTGGTTTTCTTTTTATCCCTTATGATTTATCGCACATTCTTGTTGAACAGGACATGGGTGAGATTTCCCTGCGTAGAGAGAAAAATCCATGAGATATGACTGAGGACGTTTCAACAGATTTCGTAAGTTATGTAACTAACTTGTTATCTCTGCGACCCCGAGATATCTGCGAATTAGACATTTGACCGATATGCACGCATGCATACTCCGAACGCTACCAATGATTACGTTGAATGAAGCAAAAATGAGATCCTCGTCAAAAAAATTTTAAAAAAAGACGACGCAATTCGATCTTATCGTTAGTATCGTTTCCTCTATCAGCACGCGTATACTCTTTCGGTTTATGCATTAAAGGATATTGCATTTAATCGACTATATAAACCTAAAGCATTAAGCTCATAAATTCTATCGACCAGTCTGGTTCAGTTTAGATAAACATATGCACCCTCGGCGGTATTTGGCAATTTTCCGACATTATGCCGCTGCTGTATATTTTAGCTTGCAGCAGACAAGTTAGTTGATTTGTTCATTTTAGAAATGTGAAATAGGCTATAAACTAGGATAAGTTTTGATCTTGCCCCATATAAAGGAAGCATCGTTGCCCCACTTTTATTCATTATGTACTGCTGTATTAATTTGCGCAGTACAGGAATCGGCGGCATCTATATTTCGCTAACATGCTTGACATGGGCTTTTTAAGGAAGCAATACATATACAAAAAGCGAGTTCAAATTTCGAACGTAAAATGTTTTCTGTAAATTTCTTAAAATCTACTAGCCTTTTAATATATATATATATATATATATATTTTTCTTTTTTTTCTCAATATCTTGTCCCAGGAACAAAGTCGAACAGTATCGTGCATTTCGCCGGTTATATCTCGAGTCCTCACTTCATCCTCCCAAGAACAATTTTTATTATAAACGATCGCGTTGAATTCAGTTGAGTACACGCTTGCTCACTGTTATTCATGTCGCTTTAGTGCACGCATGTTTGTACGATGCGTATGTGTACAGAAAGTCTTCAAATTTTACCGGGCACAATCTCACTATATCAAACGCTGCCTATGCGTTGCGTCTATCAACATACCCTTATCGCAGTTTGCTAAGTCCAAGTAAGTAGCATGAAAACGCTCTGTCAGCTGCCGAAGCAGCACTGGCATTTGCAGCCCCAACAAAACTGACAATGTTTACAGCGCTAGGTATGTAAAGACTGTCTACCGTTCCGTTGGCCTTCTACCTTCAATAGGCCATTGTCGTGTTTCTCCAAGCAGCGCTTGATTGCTTAGTCACAACGCCTTGGTGCATGTACGATCGTGTTAACCCAGTCCTTACGGGCACAGCATGAGCCTATGCGTGTCTGATTGTGCGTGTGGACAATCAGTGCTTTACGTGGTGTTACTCACATTCTGCGTACACGTAATTGAGATCGACTTCACCTGACTCCCATTTATGACCGAATGTACGCGAGTCAAATTGACCCTTAGAGTGGCTTGCTGAGATCGATGATGGTCAGTGCAAGCTGAAATGAAAGCAAAATTGTTGAAGGTGGCAACGTCAGCAATAATGATGCTACTACCGTGGTTCTTGCGACAAAACAGCTGGCATGAGTCGAACCAATTTATTTCGCAGTAACAATTATTCGTGATTATTAAAACGATATTAAGATGAAGTGGTTAAGAGTTACGGTGGTTCTGCTGATGTTACTCGCATCAGTAGTACCCGTACGAAATGCTCATCAAGAACGGAAACATGTATGGCACTGGATAGAGGCAGACCTATCGACCAAAACAAAGACGAGTCGAGCAATCGAGTCCTTGGGTGGGCCGACCACCGAAACATCGCAGTCTTTCACTACGACCCCAATTCCCACTGAGGAGAGAGGTTAGACATACAAAATACATATAGGAAGGCATTACTTTTAAGCGTGTTCATACTGTAATGTAGAAATGCTTTCGTCTTAGGAAAAAATTATCTGCTTTTTCTCGGAACAACACAATCAACATGTTAATGGGACAAAATTAATAACTTCTGTTTTTATAGCCTCTTATACAGCTGACTGGCCAGTGTGCTACTCACGTGTACTAACTGTTATTACAAGGCCATTACAAAATTATATCTAGATTAAGAAAAATATCCAGCCCATGTGTATGTTTTCTACCGAAATCTAATTTACTATGAGTCGACTACACGTTAATAGTACTTATGGACACCTTCTTACTTCCCATATTTGAAGCATATTAATTAACACGTTTTTGCTTTTCTAGAGACGGGTAGTTCTAGTAGCAGGGAATGAGGTAAAGTAAATGAATCCTACAGCATTAGCTTACGATGATACTGTAATTATATCGGTATTTGGCTGTAAAGCACACATTAAAAAGGAAATACAAAGAGGTAAATAGGCACTGCTTGCATTGAATGTGTGCCCTCGAAAGCACAGGCTAAAACAAGCGGGCAAATCAGAGCCGAATGTGTCTTGTGTACTCACAGTAGCCTGTAACATAAGTGGGACAAAGGCTGGCTGAACACTCGCCTACGGTAAAGAACGAAAAGGAAGCGAGGAATAACTCGAAAAAATCGGCTGATCATCAGGGTCTTGGTGCTGTTGTTGGTCCAGTTCGACTGCGGCTTCAGGCGTATGAAAATGAATGAAAAATCCTCTAAAATACGCTGGAAATGAAGCAGAAGCTCATAAACTGTTATAAAAGCCTTAAATAACTTTGGTAATGGCCATACTATACGAAATAGGGCGGTGCATGAAACTTGCTCGAATCCAGCTCTTACCATGCTAATACAAACAGATGGTATCATTCTAGGTGTGACCCGCCACCACTGGGGGCAACCTTGTACGACGGCCTGTAACTTGACGCTTGGCGAGATTTGTGACCAGTCGCTCAGAATATGTGCCTGTCCTACATACACTTTTCGATCCCGCAAAACAGGACACTGTAAAGGTGCTATATTTTACATTAAACGTTTCTTATTCAATGTGTGTATCATATTGGCAAGCGTAATGCCCAGAAACGCAATGAGGATAAGCTGACGCACGCTAACACCGAGCCCCTTAGTACTTGCCATTATCAGCTATTTCAGTAAAACTTCGGCTCGAAAATTTTCGCAAACGGCCACACAACATTCGGGTAACTTAATGATTTGAAAGGAAACCATTATATTTCTATTCGACGATAAACGAGCTTTTTTTTGCAGCCTGTAGTAGAAAGCCTTAGCTACAATGAAGCAATAAAAACAAAAGACGAATTTGCTTTCTTGGTAAACCTATTCTAGGTTCTCTCTTCGAAGATCATTTCCTCAAAATGATAACTCAAAGGTGTCTCGATTATTTTCAGCCCAGATTGCAGTGTATATACAACTCAATTCGGCGGATTTCGTGGCCCCGTTCAATGATATCCTGGAGAGGTAGTGTAAACCATATTATTACCTTCTATATCCAAACCTGAATACCACACTGCACTCCAGAAATATCTATATATATACCAGCAATCTATTACAGAGTCCCTTGAGACAAATTCTAGTAGGAGCATTTCAAAGAAGGTTTTGGTTAACTAGGATCTTTGGTTCAATTGGATATAATAATTCCCTCTATGGAATAGAAGTTAGTAATAATATGCGCACGTACAAATAGACGATAACGGTGATATCGAGGACATTTTCCATTTGACCTAGAGGAAATCATCCTAATTGTTTATTTTTATTCGTGTGTAACGTGCTGCATCTATAAAGAGGTGTTTTCCGTCCAAATGTATGAATGTAACATGTGTACCAGCGGTACAAAAAAAAACTGCAACATACATTACGCAGTTTCCAGTATAATAAACAAATAAAAAATTCTATTGAGTTAACTCTATGAAGAATAAACCTTCGTTACGTACTAACCTTTATTAGCTCAATACTGATAAGCTTATCATCACATTAGCTAACACCTGCACCTGTATAACGCTTGTTTGCCTTGCAGGTCCGAGAACATCGTAGAAGTATCACCACATGTTCTATTTGAAAATCAGAATGGAAAAGCAAGCACTACAATCTTTGTTGATGCCGCTGAATTCAGTAACTCCTGGGCGGATGACGAAAGAAACCTGCAAAGCTTACTAGGTTAGTTCCGACTAAATAAGCTATGTCTTCGAGAGCATAACCTGGTCAGTAGTTAAATTGGTTGCATTTTGTATGGAACGATTTCTTTTAAGTAGCAATAGAAAAGGTCGCTTAACAGCAAATTGATAGGGGTCACAGACATCCGGAGAGTAGAAAAAATTTGTTTAAAACTAGGTGTTAGTACTGAGGAGTTGGTAAAGTGGAATAAGGAAACCTTGTAGGTGCCTGAGCAAACGGAACGATCGTTTGAAGTAAACAGTGGCATCTCAGGTTTGGCCATCATTGCTTTTCCAGATAGCTCAGAGTATAAGAACATCCTGAATCTCACAGTGGCCCGCAATCCTTGTGACTCACCGAAAACTCGGCCCTGCAGCTCAAATGCACTCTGCATTACCAACCGATATAGGTATGTGTTGTAGAAAGAAAAGGTTTCTTCGAGTAGTCACGGTATTTATTTTTCTTCAATAAAGTAGAGAACTTTTTTTTTTCACTACGTAATCATTAGAATAGAATACATGTCTTCTGACACTAAAAACACAAAAAAATAATATATATCTATGATTTGCAGGTACCAGGTGGAATGCTTATGTCGTTTTGGGTATGAAGACTTATCGACCGGTTCTGGCCGTATATGCGCCCGTAAGTGGCTTTGACCGTTACACAAGAAATATTCTTGTGAAAATTATGGGAATTGGTTTTTAGATATGAATATCAATACATCACATTCTATCAATTAACAAAATCATAATTTTTCTTTCACGGCAATATGAGAACCTCTTTGGCACCTAGTTTACTAAGCTTTCTGGAACAACAGATGCTACACCAATTCGTTTGTCTAATGATTCAACGTTTGTTTATATCCTTTTATCTTCTTTCTGGATATTTATTTGCTTCAGTGTCGCACGCTCTCAAGTCCAAACCTGTGTTACTGTTTTCATCGACACTCATTATTTCAGGCGCACGATACACAGGTACCTAACAGCTGGCCTATATCATTGTCCCACGCTTTGCTTCTTCGCCTCGTTTCTTTTCTTCCCTACCGACTTTGCTGCATAAACAGTCCCTGCTTTCGCGTTCAGTGACATCTTCACTCGTCTTACCACTTTTTCTTTACCTTTTCTATACGATTTCATTACCTTCCCACCGTTTGTCCATTATGCACACGCGCCAGTACTCCACGTACATCGATGTCGCGCCCTTCGGAAACAACGAAAGCTCATTGAACGGCCGTTTCATAGCAAGGCTTTTGTGTGAGTGTAAGCCCACGTTGCGCTGTTGCACCGATTTTTCCCAAAACGTTACCGGACCAACATTGCCATAGCCGTTCTACGACTAGCTATCGCTACCTCTAGCATGTGTCGGTCCGATGATGGTAGAGTGCTATCTCGGAGAGGTCCGTCTTGCGCGAAGGCTTGATCCCTATCGCTTTTGCTTTCCTTGTTTCGCATACTGGAGGCGCATAGCCGTCGTAAGCCTCCCGGATGGGGTCTTTCGAGCGGACCGCCTTTCTATCACTATTCATCTTAGCCACAGCTGTGGCCTTCACTGCTTTTGCATGGGGCACGCTATAAGAGTCACTGCCGTCAGAGAGAAAGGCAGTACAACCTTAGGGTAACGGGAAAAAGCCAGGCCGCGTTCTTGTCCGTCTTAAAGAGAAGGTGTTGCTTGTCCACGACGAAAACACTGGCCGTTTGGTGCAGCAAATTAGCTGCAGTCCCATATATTACTACAGCAGCCCAACTCGCCGCCACCTCGCTCCGTCACAATATTATGCCGCTCCAGTTCTCTCAAATACTAACAGTTACCTAAGTCATGCGTTCCCTTGCCATTGCTCACACACCTCTCTAAGCCAGGGTCACCCATTCGTGTTTTCATCATGGAGACTAATTACCATGCCTTAATTTTTGCTGTTTTGTCTTTGCTTCACGTTCGCTTTTACCTCGTTGCTGTTATCTGCGATCGCTTCGCTTATTTGCCCATGGCTGAGGTCCTGCTACTGGCTTATACATGCAACTTTACTGGCGTGTCATGCGCTGATACCCAGGCAAACGGCGTTGTCTCAATGGAGGCCTGCCCTACCTCCTTCAAGACAATTTTGGCATAGAACAGTTACATTGCCGCTGTATGTTGTGGTTCGCTGGTGAAAACTGCGAACTGGATCTCGTGAGTGAGTAGAAACTATAATTTTTTATTGCTTATCATACTTCGCTAATACGCAAAGCTGTCTTCCTTAACACCATATCTCTTTTTATTGTTATCCCTTTTATGTTACGTTTTCAAAGGGGTACTCTATTAAAGCTCTCATTTTGTGTCACTGATCCGTAAGCCTGTGGATCACCTTGGCTGGTCTCATGGAGCTTGAAATCTCATTGAGTATAATCTTTCAGGACTTCTGGCCTATGTGGTAAAGTGTTAATAGATTGTTATCACATATTTCAGAAGTTGGTTTGACGGGCCTGACCATCATCTGGTTTGTTGTCCTTGCCGTTTGGTCTCATCTTCTGCGTTTCAGGACCTTATTTCATGGGTCTCTTCACAGTAGTTCAAGCGAAGTAAGTATCAGCATAATATCGGAAATTAGCGGGTCACCACAAGCGTCGTAAAATCATAAAGTCATTGAAGCATGAACGTAAACAAAGCTATTGCTATTATTATTCTGTTACATATCTACATTGCTAACATATACAGAAACACATGTATTTATCAACAATAACAAGTTAAATAGTGAGCAAAGACGTTTACTCTAAGGCTATACTTTTGATTTTGTTGTAAAGCAAGTAGAACTTTGCTGTTTGATCGTATGGAAACTAAGATTATTCTCTTTATAGTGGTTTCCTAGAAAAAATTTATATTGAGCATCTGTTTCCAAATGTCAATGTTTATATGGCTTAAGGGTATTGCGATGAGTCAATAGTTGTTCTACCTCCTCTAAAATGTCCTTTTGTGACGTCGGTATGACGTCGAAAAAAACAAACTTGTTACAATTTGTTATTGCTTATGAGAAATGTGATTCCAAAAACAACCCGTAGCTATTTGCCATGTGTTCTTTAACTTTTCTGTCAACATCTGTTTTCGACATAAGAGGATCTATTAACTGCAGCAACCGTTTACGGAAGTCATGATCCATTAACATACTACGTAGCATAAATTAAACTTTGTAACTTGCCGATGATTTTCCGCCATATTGTAACACGGAAGTTCATCCCCCCCCCCCAATACAAAATTTGTAGCTGACAGCGACCTTTGTGTGTCATTAGAAATGTATCCGCAACACTGGTAACCAGAATAAACCTATATATTTCACAAGCATATAAAATGTTTGTTTTAATTTTGCCCCAGCATAGAAATATTTTTTGTTTTATTTTTTTTTAAGAAAGATGTGTTGTACTGGTTTACTTCAAGAATTTTACACGTGGCTAGCGTCTGTGAGCAGACTTGATATAGGAGCAACTGTCTCAACCCTTCCGCTTCGAATGGAAACCACTATGATTAGTGAGGCTAGATGCAGAGTATGTGCATCTACATACTATACATTCATATTGTGATATACAGTGGGCGGGAGAAAGACAGGGTCTGTGGGCAAACTGACGAAAGACGAACGGCTTGCCTTCTACGCTTACATCGTGGGATGTTTTTGTAGCCACAATCGGTATGAATTTTGTATTCTTTTGGTGGCACCCATGTAAACTCGAGTTTCGCATGAGCGTCTGTAAGAACGTACCTGATCTTAGACCTGTGCTAAGCTGATATAAGTTGCATACGAACGCCAGATCGGGTCGGAGGTCCCTATTTCTGTCTTGTTTGCCACCTCTATTAGCAGAATGCATTAAATTTATATATACATTTTGAGGACGATATCGACTGAGGAGAGATTAAATGCTATATTTACATGTACGCATATATTATGTAACGGGTGTTTGTCTAGACTAATATATCAAAAAATGTGAGACGAATAGATATTCTCTATGCAGCTGCATCGGTAGTGATAGGGCTGGGTTATTATCCGATAGGGCATTTGTTTAGCACGCAGTGGGGTGTCAAACATTATTGGCAATGCGATAAACGAGCAGCAGGAATAACAGCTAAACGTCTACCCTTTCCCCCCCGTGACGGTTTCTCAGTCTCGAAGAACCTCTAAGCTTTAGGAGCATGAAGAACAATTGGAATAGGTCTGAATGAGAGGTTAAGCTTGGAAAGAAGAGGAACTCACGGTTCACTCATTGAGGACTCTCAAGAAGAGATGAAAAAGGGTTCGTCAAGCGGGTTAAAATATCCCCTACTATCAACTTTCTCCTTCTTTGAAGCTGCATCTGGTTAACGTCGAGGAAAGCTTCGCAAACGGTGACGACAGAATAGTGGCTCAGATTTGCATACAGAACCGATTAACCCCTATCCCTTTACGAGATGATAGAAGAACGCGCGAGCCGAAGCGACGACGGCGTGGGCGCAAACAATGAAAAAGGTCGTATGGATAGTCTCTGGGGGTTGCGGAACCGAGCGATCTGTAGGTCTTAGACATGTGTGTACGAAAACTCATTGCAGATTCCATCATTTAAAAAAAAAAAAGACGAATTGTAGTTCTATATATTCAAATAAGTACACAGCGGAAGTTATAACATAGTTATGACTTGACTGAAATACGCCTCGGATCTGTTGGAAACAACGCAAACAGTCTCATGCAAAGCCATACGAAATGAATGAAGTTGTACCTCGAAATAGGAAGGTAGAAAACTATATGCTATTTGGAAAGAACATATAGAATAAAGTACACAACGAATGCCGAACTATAACGAGATGTACATGAGTAAGCTTGTGACAATATAGTATCTTATTAAGTCTTCGTGTGCGCTTTGTGCTGCAAAATAACAACCAATTTAATAATTCTTTGTAAAACAAGCCTTCATGCGCATTTTAATCCATAATTTCTTCAAATTCAATACGAACTAAAAGCAAGAAGTTCGCGACTATCAAACACATGCGGTTTTCATGTTCCGACTGTTGCATGGCAAGTTGACTCCTGAGGTATATAGCAGAGATAACCACGTAGTTAACAGGCTAATTCAACAATGGGGGTGATGGCCTGTGGATATTACACGTACCAAAGTACAGTTTGAGCACATTGGTACGGTCGCAATCTAACAAAATAACCAGCAATTCTTACCGTCCGCCTTAGTCATTAGTCTAGTACCATGGAATAAAGTTTGTAGATACCCTCCAAAACCTCCTGCTGAAAACACCAACCATATGTTAACATCTTCACGGCGAAAAAAAAACGCTTTGAAAACGGGTGCAGCCTTTGTATCGCAATCTAACACTTTCCTCCAGAAAAAAGTCGCCCAAAAAGAAGAGAAGAAGCAGGCAAATAAACTGTTTTCGTTTCAACTTCCGAACCGCTGCCAATTCTACTATCCACACCCACTTCTGCGCCGTTAACCCCTCCCCATCCCATCCCCTACGAACTTTTTTTCGTACCCCACGAAAGCTAGTGCGTTGTGGCTTCCTCCGTTGGCGAAAATGGAGTATTGTGTATGTTCGTTGCTAGAAACGATGCTTGGCTCTTTGAATTGAGACGGCGGATCTTTGGCATGTATAAACAATGAAACCGTGCCGGTCTACTGAAGGGGCAAGAGCGAGTATGTGTGAGGAGAAGAGGTAGTTCTTTTCGCAGCAATAGTAGCAGTACCGAAAGAAGGGAGTTTTAAAGCGTTGGAAAAAACAGCAGCTTTTTTTTTTTATAATATTGGGGTCATTTAGTGCCGAGAGGAGAGGAAAGCCATCAAGGCAACAGGCAGCGTGGGCAAACGAACCCACGAAACTCAAACAACAGAAGTCGAGATAAATAACCCGGCACATACGACGTGAAGAGTATATATAAAAGAAGTCTATCCTACCGTTGCTCCTTTTATTACCACTGTATAGGACAGCGGTATTTGTACTACAATTTACCAGTAGCATTCGAGGAGGAAAACAACGGCTGCAAAGGAGCTGTACGACCCGCTCTAGTCATAAGACTTAAACGTTAGGGGAAGCAGTATGACTGCGGCAGAAGTGGCCGACTAGTCACAAGAACGCAGAGCGCCTTCTTCTTCCGTAAGAGTGCGTATCGGGCGAAAACAAACGGGAAACAATCGGGATTATGCTAGAAGACCAAGATCTTCATGATGGTTACGATGCTGATGATTATGTTTTAACGTGTTGCTCGTTTATCTTCATTTGGTGATAATTTCCTGATATGTGCGTAGGTCTAGAATAAAAGTCAAATTCATTACACAACGTATGTGCCTGTTTTTAAAGTAACGTGTTGGTTTAAATGAATAGGTTTGGAGTTTGCAAGAAATAAGCATGATATTGGTACACCTATTGCACACGTATACTTTGTGACTATGAACTCATTCATGGCCGTGAGTCATATGTCTATATATTATATATTGCACCTTACAACAAAAAAATTTAGCAGTAATAACGATGTTTCAGCACACACAATGGGCGCGTGGAAGCCAAATGTGCAAGTGGGCACTGACAATAGTGAGTCATGATTTGATGTCTCAGAGTTGTATATTAACCCGTTCATAAATACATTGCGAAAATCTTGTTAGCGATGACCTGTGCTAGCTCTTAGAATAGGCCTCCCTGGGTATCAGAATCTACAGCTGAGCTTTATGCAATCCTAGTAGAAAGTATTGGAAGTATTTTATCGTTTCTGTGGAAGTTAATATCCTAACTTGACCATTTCGCTTTAGCCTTCGCAATGACTGGAGAGTTGAACACAAAGTACAATCTTATCCAAAGGTTATCATTTTAAGGGGGATTCAATGAATAATGTGTTTGATTATTCGAATTTCCATTACCAGTCTCCCACTGAAATATCTTCGACTCACAATTACGACACTCATATTCGTTGCCTCGTATGTATTATATTGAAGTTAATCATCAGGCACGCAGTAACGAGTAAGAACGTTTTTTGAGGGAGGCATTAACGTTAACGCTTTTCAGAGCTTCAGACAAAGGTTTTTAGATACCATCTATTAGGCTTAAATTTGCATAGCAATCTTTTAACCACTTTATGCAGACTTTTAGAATTTGATGTCCGGTACTGCCGTAAAGTATTGTTTTAGACGACAACTGGCTTCCGCTGTAGAATGAAATGTGTCTACGCCCAATCTCGAACGTTGCGTGTTTCTAACTTTAGTAAATAAACACGTTGCCGCTGCGTTAAAACGGTGATGATTTAGTCATTTCGTTGAGGAAAAGTTGTAATAATCATTGATATCATTCAGTGCGTATCCTCTCGAGTACTCGTTCGAGCTTATGGATGACTAGAAAGAATAGTTAGTTTTTCTTGTGATAAACAAAGCATCCGTTGAAAAGTGGTCAAACAAATGCAAACAAAATTTTACTACCATGGACATCTCCTGCCTGAAAAACTGATCAGGCAGCATCTTGTCTGCGTATAACGAAATCCCATACAACTTTCGGCACTTTTCGTTTTCGTCCTACCATTCTTCCTTTTTGCCATCAGCTCTCGCAAGAAACGTATACTAGATATATTGGCTATCCGTCATCCTATTGAGCATTTCACATTGCGGTCAGTCCTTAAAAATATCGTCCCCTTTTAACTTTCGTCCTTCCTTCGGCATCTTGCCAAAAACATAGAAATGTGCTAAAGTGGCCTATGAGATGGCTTTGCCGCCCGTTGTTGCAGCCGTTTGTTGACGAAAAAGAAGAGCGAAACGTTAAATCAAATTGTGTTAGTGCACCCGAGGGAGTTACAGATACATTTGTGGTAGGCAGAGCTATCCGGTATCTTATGTCGACCAACAGCGGCTGCGGAAACACCATAGGCGCTATCCTTTGTGCTGATACTTTCATTGTGTCATCGCGATGACGGCGAATGAACGCCGCGGTAGATGGAGTGAGTAAGCGACCAGCAACCGCCCCTTGCTTGATGGAGGAGCCGGCTTGACCAGCGAAACTGTGGGGGGTGATCATCTTGCCACTGTTTGTTGCAATGTCTATCGTCATTTTCGTCATCTCTTGCCGCGTCTAAGGAGTTCTTGCGCGGCTGTCGACTAGCGTTTCTCAGATCCAATGCGACCCGCTATGGCAGCACTCATCAGAGATCCAGCCTCAGTGATCGTAGTCACAAAGACAGCAGTGGAAATTGTGGATCTATACGGGCAGCTCATGGTGGTGGTTGAACAGAACGAAACCTACTACTAACCACGAATGATACTGGGTTGCATCTTTTTCCTCGTCTCTTAATAGCAGGGTAATATGATTTACGA